ATGGAGGGCTCTCGTTTGGGGGGGGAGGAGAGCACAGGAGGGGAGGAAGGAGGAATGGTTGAGGGGGTAGGAGGGCTCTGCAGGGGAGAGAAAGGGCTCTGGTTGGGGGGGACTAGGGGGGGATGGGGAGCACTAGAGGGGGGGAAGGAGAGCACTGGAGGGGGGGAAGGAGAGCACTGGAGGGAGGGAAGGAGAGCACCAGCGGGGGGGAAGGAGAGCACTGGAGGGGGGGAAGGAGAGCACTGGAGGGGGGGAAGGAGAGCACCGGAGGGGGGGAAGGAGAGAACCGGAGGGGGGGAAGTAGAGCACCGGAGGGGGGAAGGAGAGCACTGGAGGGGGGGAAGGAGAGCACGGGGGGGAAGGAGAGCACCAGAGGTGGGGAAGTAGAGCACCGGAGGTAGGGAAGTAGAGCACCGGAGGGGGGGAAGGAGAGCACTGGAGGGGGGAAAGGAGAGCACTGGAGGGGGGGAAGGAGAGCACTGGAAGGGGGGAAGAGAGCACTGGAGGGGGGGAAGGAGAGCACTAGAGGGGGGGAAGGAGAGCACTGGAGGGGGAGAAGGAGAGCACTGGCAGGGGGGAAGAGAGCACAGAAGGGGGGGAAGTAGAGCACTAGAGGGGGGAAAGGAGAGCATTGGAGGGGGGGAAAGAGAGCACTGGAGGGGGGAAGTAGAGCACTGGAGGGGGGCAAGTAGAACAAGGGGATGGGGGATGTGCAGGGGATGGGGAGGGGGAGAAAGGATGGCAGGAGAGGGGGGGATGGCGAGCAAAAGAGAGGGGGGACCGTTGTGTGCGGCGAGAGAGGAAGAGATATGCGCACGTGAAATCGGGGGGGAGTTGCATGAGTGGCACGGGGAAACCGTAGTGAGGAGCGCGGCAAAGGTTAAGCGCCAACGCTGTTTTTACGCTGGTTTCTGGGCTAGAGAGGTCGCGAGGTTAGAGCTATGGCGCGGATCGCGGTTTAGAGAAGAGCAGCTCCCCGCTTGGTGCGCGCGAGTGAAGGGGGGGAGTGGATACTTGGGTAGCGTGACTGACGCTCGTGAAGCTGTGCTAGTGCGGTGCATTTCACCCTTTTCGTAGTGTTACGCGTGCTTTCCTGCATTTGAGATAACGGCTAGACTCGTGTCTGATCTGCTTCGTCAACTAGTGCCATGGATTGGGTAAGGTGGAGTTGGTTTTGGGGCAGTAAAGCCCATTCCCTCGATATCCCTGTTTCCTTGTCTCCAGCTTTCTATCGCCTCGCTCCTATGCGTGCTTGGTTGTGTTTGTTCCTGATTTCGTTTTCAAAACGAACCTTCACAAAAACCCTACCTACTTCCGTGCTTGCGAACGCCTTCTTGGTGGGATCGGGGCATCGCCAACCGTCCATGCTTGCGACGTCGTCAGCGTTGGCGAGGTCGTTTCTTCCGTTGCAAGAGCTCTTCCCTTCGCATGGGCCATGCTTGGGTTTTTTGCGAGGGTGCGCTCCTCGCTGTTTTTGCCACCCCTCTTCAAGGTTCGATGTTATGATATAGGAAGTGTCAATGAGCTATAACGTGAGAATACAAGGTCGCTATTGCAATGAAGGCATGAGGTTATATAGGGGTTGGCGTGCTAGGGCAATAACCTCGGAACGTGGGTAGGTTCGGCAATGTGGCGACAATGCCGGACGCGACTCGAGAGAGGGTTGGGCTGACAAATGAGGCCAAACGTGACGAGTCGAGGAGTTCGGGTGTACGTGCTAGCGTACAACTCAATAAGGAATGGAAATTCCTTACACTACCCCCCCCCCCTTCCTAAACAAGGCAACCCACCAGCTCTGCGTAAGGACCACTGGGCTCAAGACTCAAGAGAGGAACAGACGGGTCGGTAACGAGGGAGGCAAGGACTCGAGGAACTACAGGACGAGCAGCAAGAAGGTAGTCAGACAGAGGGGAAGGCGCGTTAGCGAGCGACGACGGAGGAGGTGAAGGTAGGAGGGGAAGACGAGACGCGTGGGAACGAAGCAACATGGGGTGCGAACGCTGAACAGGCGAGACAGGGAGAGCACGAGAGGGATGGCAAGACTAGACGTGAGACGTAGGCGTCCGGTCAGGAGAAAGAGGAGGAGAAACAAAAGGGGAACGAGGTGGGAACCGGGCCAGGGACGAGTCCGGCGGAGGAAACACAGGACCGTGGACAGGAAGAGGAGGAGGCGGCGGGGGAGGCGCAGGCGAGCAGTCGGGGGAGGGAAGGCCGAGCAGGCAAAGGGCGGACACCGGCGGCGACTGCGGCTGCTGCTGCTCGACGCCGACACCTAGACCACCAGCTGCACCACAGTCACCTCCGGAACACTCCACTCCAGCACCCCCAGAACAAGCACCCCCAGAGCGAGAACCCTCTCCAGCACCGGTGCCACCCCAGAGCCCGCGGACAAGCCACGAAAGGAACCCCAGGACTAGCACCCTCCTCAACGCCAGCACCCCCAGAGTCCATGAATGGCTGCGGCTGCTGCGACGGCGGCGGCTGCTGCGGCGGCGGCGTCGACTGCTGCGGCGGCGACAGCAACGGGGGAGGAGGAGACACTAGGGAAGGACAGGCGACGCAAACTGCGCCAAGGGGCCACCAGAGTCAGCCGACATTCGACCGGGGAAACCAACGGGAGGGGAGTGACGTGAGACACACCAGATGGAGCAAGACGGGGAGGGAGGGAAGCAGGGGCGACCGGGGGAGTGGGAAGCAGAAATAGGGGGGGGGGACCGGGAGACCTCGGTGGGGAAAGCGGTGGTAAAAGGAGACAGACTCGTGGAAAGTTGTGTCACGGGAGTGAAAGAAGCGGTGAGACGGCGCGTGGTAAAAGTGTCAGTCAGACGAGTCAAGGGGGAAACCGAGGAAGACACAGGGGACAATGCGGGCAGTGAGCTTGTCCGTGCCAGAGGCACGAACGTGAGTGAGGCAGCCCAAGACGTGATACTCAGATGCGTCACCAGGGAATCCGGTCCAAAGAAGGGTTGGCGAAACCTGCGGCCGCTGGGAGCGCGGCCGGAGGTTAAGCTGGTGAGCGGCGTAGCGAACGGCGAACGTCCACAGAAAATGGGGTGCACCGGCATGGATCATGGAGGTACGAGCCACCTCCATGACCAAACCAATGCGTCGCTCAGCGACCCCATTCTGCTGCGGGGAGTCCGGTAGGGTGTACGTCAGGGTGATGCCCTCCGCACGACAAAACTGACCAAGCCGACCAGAGGCGAACTCGCCGCCACGGTCGGAGTGGAGACACAACACAGGGAGACCGCGGTGGAGGCGCGCAGCTACGAGCCAAGAATGGCAGGCACGTCGGCCTTCCGCTCCAAGGGAAACACCATGGTGTAGCGCGTGAAGTCGTCGACGAGCACGAGAAAATAGCGCTCGTGACGTGGTCCAGGGACGGGGGCTGGGCCCCAGACGTCCAAGTGGATGGTCTGGAGGGGTGCAGTGTCAGGGCGAAGCGAGGAAGAGTGGGGAGAACGGCGCAGCCGGCCCTCGATGCAGGGCATGTACGATGGCGCAGGCAAGGGAGGGAGGGCAAATCGCGACAACAGGGCCATGATACTCCTATGTCAGGAGCCTCGGCTTGAGGGCAGCGCGAAGCATATTCAGCTGCGGTACTTCCTCCTGCGCGAGCTACAGCAGCGCCGCCAGGCCCGCGTAGTTCACTTGGCCTCATGTGCCAACACAGCTGATATCTTTACTAAGACGCTTGCGCCTAAAGATCATCAGCGGCACTGTGTACAGCTTGGTCTTGTTCCTGTAGCTACTCACTTGTTAGGATCCTGGTTGTGTACTCTCTATTATATATGCCTGTCAAACTGGCCTTGTGGCCTTACCTCCAGTGGCTGGACTAGTAGTGCCGCCCTGGCTTGCTTTAGTCTTGTTTGTACCCTTGCTGCCTGGTCTCCAGACCCCTGCCTCAGTGGTTGGACTAGTAGTGCCACCCTGAGCTGTTTGCTTCTTGCTTAGCTTCACCCCTTGTCTAGCCTAGGGGGTGTGTCAACTTATACATATTAGCTATGTAGAAGTTATAGGCTAGACTGAGGTATGCTTCTAGTGAGTACAACCAACTAGTATTTGTTCTAGGTTTCAACTTCTAGTCAATCATTCAGTTCTTACTTTAGCAGCTAGTACATCGGGTATGGGGTTAGTGCTAGGAGGACGCAGACCAGTGGTCCTTACTGGGCACACAGACGCTTCTTGGGCAGACGACTCTTAGACGCTCAGGTTGTCGCAGGGCTACTGCTTTAGCCTTGGTTCGGGTGTTATCTCTTGGAGATCCACTCGTTCGTCGTCTGTGGCTCAGTCCAGCTGTGAGGCTGAGATCTACGCTGGTGCCATGGCAGCACAGGAGCTCCGCTGGCTGACCTTCTTGCTCACTGACTTAGGTGAGTGGCATAGCTTTGCCCCGGTCCTGTACGCTGACAACAGGGCCATGATACTCATGTGTCAGGAGCCTCGGCTTGAGGGTAGAGCGAAGCATATCCAGCTGCGGTACTTCCTCCTGCGCGAGCTACAGGAGCGCCGCCAGGCCCGCGTAGTTCACTTGGCCTCATATGCCAATACAGCTGATATCTTTACTTAGGCGCTTGCGCCTAAAGATCATCAGCGGTACTGTGTACAGCTTGGTCTTGTTCCTGTAGCTACTCACCTGTTAGGATCCTGATTGTGTACTCTCTATTATATATGCCTGTCAAACTGGCCTTGTGGCCTTACCTCCAGTGGCTGGACTAGTAGTGCCGCCCTGGCTTGCTTTAGTCTTGTTTGTACCCTTGCTGCCTGGTCTCCAGACCCCTGCCTCAGTGGTTGGACTAGTAGTGCCACCCTGAGCTGTTTGCTTCTTGCTTAGCTTCACCCCTTGTCTAGCCTAGGGGGTGTGTCAACTTATACATGTTAGCTGTGTACAAGTTATAGGCTAGACTGGGGTATGCTTTTAGTGAGTACAACCAACTAGTATTTGTTCTAGGTTTGTACCTCTAGTTGATTATTCAGTTCTTACTTAGACACTTTCCACCACACGCATGGTGAAACATGGTTTCACATCGTATTGCTAGTTAGCATGCATCCGTCCAGGTTGTTACAGCCACGCCAGAATGTAATATTTACCATCTGAAACAGATAAATACTGTCTTATTGGACGCATGGAAATGCATTTATACCTAGGAAAGGTTGAGCGTCAATGTTGCCATACAGAATGTATGATGGAGGATCTGGCATTGTGGCACCACCACCACGTGGAACCACGCACGGACGGACCTCATCCTTCTATAAGCTTCACAGGTGTGCTGCAGGCATTTGGTTTGGGATCCAGAAGGGTAAGCGATAAAAGTGGAGGAATGCTCAAATGTGCACTTTGGCTTGTCCAAGAAACAGCGTCCATTAGCGTGGGTTTTGTTTCACAGCAAAGAAAAATCATCAAAAAAGGAAGGGGGACGGTGTGGAGGGGCGGGACTGCAAGGGACGTCCGTAGGAAAATTCGGGGCAGAAGGTCGGGGGAAAAAGCGGAATGGAGGGACGGATGCAGAGGAAGGGACTCACCCGAAGGCATTCTGTTTCACTGACAAGAGCTCCACATTCATCTGTGGGGGATGGGAACCATGGAAAGGAGAGTGACACTGTTCACTGTGACCAGAAAGGAAGGACATGCGTTATGGTTACTCAACAGGCATGGTCGGCTCGTAGACAATGGAGCAACTGAGCCCATGACAAGTGAGAGGAAGGCTTGCGGGGCAGTGGTGGGATGGGTGGTGGAAGGGCACCTGAAGCGTGGCGTTGGGGGGAATCTCTTGAATGCCCCGGTTGCCGTATGCCAGCTCCGGAGGAACAATCATTTCACGCTGCAGCGGGCAGAGCAGCACAGGAGAAAGGAGTAGGCGAGAACGGGGGTTTCATGTCCCAGATGCGCCAGTTGTATCAGGCACTTGCACATACTTGGACACAACACAATGGCTAGTCACATGGGTGGTCACCGGGCAACACCACACATGAGTAGAGAACAAGCGTAACTCGTCACGCGGCTGCCTTGAGGTGCGGACAGAGACCTCAGAGCCAAAGGCAGGAACCAGAGGGCCCAGCCCAGCACGCCTGCTCACTGGAAACAGCAAGACAGAGCGTAGCCAGGCACACAAGCCAGAGTCGCAGTGTCAAGCACACAGGAGCTAGGAGCATAGGCTTGCAGCGCAGGGCAGGAGAGAGGGGAGGGGACTCACGACGCCCCCTGCGCGCATGCCCTCCACACCGATGTCCAGCCCTTTGAGCACCATGCCCAGGCTGCTGGAGCCCAGGTCAAAGCCGTACGGCGTGCCCCCCGTGACGCCCATGCCCTGGCGGCTGGTCATGAACGTGATGCCCTTCCACCGCGCCACGTAGTGCACCTGGGATCAATACCCATGCCACACACACAGGCAACAAAGCACACCCAGGCAAAAACACACACACAGGTAACAAAGCACACACAGGCAACAACCCACACACACACAACAACGCACACACAGGGGTGAGAACGACCCCGGTAATGGCGCATCGGGGCCAGTAGTGGTTGCCAGTGGCTTGAACGGAGCAGCAGCAACCGGACGGCAGACTGGGGGGGGGTTGTGGTGCGTGCGTGGAAAGGGGAGTGAGGAGGAGTGCTGTGTGCTGTATGCACTTCTGCGGCGACTAGACCCATGAGCTGCCTCACCGTGACTCGGTCTCCCAGCTTGGCCAAGGGTCCCGTGCCCACATTGATGTCATAGATCCTTCAACGGGATGATGCCATGGCCGGTGGGGGCAGAGAGAGGGACGCAGGGAGGGGGAGAGCACCAAATTGGCAAGGGCAGCGTCAAGTGAGCCCAACATAAAGCAGTGAGGCGGCCCTGGAGACCCCACCCTAAAGTGCAAGAGTGCGAGCTTCCCTGCGGCAGACAAGCAACCCCCACCGTCACACTCCTGTTTGCTCATCGCTTTCACCAAATCTTTCACCACTTTTTTGCCAAATCCGTCACCAGACCATTCTCCTACCACATGTGCTCTCACTAAACGTTGCTGGCTGGACCTCTCCCGACTGTCCTCTACCTTGCATCCCTTACTATACCCCTCGACCTCCATGTTGCCCCAAACCTCCCACCCACTTGAGTCCCGAGGGCAGCGTTGTGTACTCCTCCTCTGGTATGCGCGCCCCGCGATTCTGATGCCACACACGGCGTGCACAAAGAGCGGAGCGGGACGGGGGACGGGGGAGAGGGAGGCAGGGAGGGCGGGAAGGAGGGAGGGAGAAAGGCGAAATGATGGGTAAGTGAGGTGTTTCCCGCTCTACAGCCCTGGCTTCTCATCCTCAGCGGGAAGGAGCAGGTGCGGCACACAGCATGCCCCGTGCTTGCTCCAGCTAGCAGCGAGAAAGGCATGCAGGCACTCTCATACGTGGAATGGTCTTTATGGTCTCTTCACGTAGAGTGGAACATGATGATAGTGCGCGACTGTGTTCACGGTGTTCCTCCCGAACGGAAGCGGCGCAAACGAGAGCAACTTCCATGCAAGGAAGGGGTGGGAGGGAGCAGGGGAAGAGGGGTAGCATCTTGGAGGAAACAGAAACCCAGAGGCCGAAAAAGAGCCAGATGAAAGGTGGTATCACAGGCTTCCACTGGAGAGCAGCCCATGCACCCCCACAGTGCCCGCTGCAACCCCCCCATCGTGCAATGCCTGGCGCGCTTGCAACAGGTCCGTCCACACAAGCAGCTCGCGTCGAACAAGCACCCGTCTCGCACTCCTTGAAGGGATGGATACTACGTAACATGTATGCACTGATGAGTGCACTCACGTGAATGGCAGGTATGCTGCTTCCAAGAACTGGCGCAGGAAGGAAATTACTCACTTAGGACCGTGGAATACGTCCAAATGACGACGACGATGGGGGAAAGGGATGAAAGCGGGGTGAGAGGGGGGGGGCAAGTGGCGGCACGGGGGTGGCAGCACTCACCGCTCTGCGACTAGTGGAGGCCGCCTCTGCGCCACTCGTGGAGCTCAAAAGGGCTGCGGGGCGGGAAGCAGCGCAGAGAGGGACACTAATTCATGTGCATGTGTGCGCGTTTCGCTGTGTGCGGGTGTGTGTGGGCGTGTGCGCGTGTGCGCATGTGTACGTGTGTGTGTGTGTGTGTGTGCGGGGGTGTGTGTGTGTGTGTGTGTGTGTGTGTGTGTGTGTGTGTGTGTGTGTGTGTGTGTGTGTGTGTGTGCGTGTGTGTGTGTGTGTGTGTGTGTGTGCGCGTGTGTGTGTGCGTGTGTGTGTGTGCGTGTGTGTGTGTGTGTGTGTGTGTGTGTGTGGGTGTGTGTGTGTGTGTGTGTGTGTGTGTGCGTGTGTGTGCGTGTGTGTGTGTGTGTGTGCGTGCGTGTGTGTGTGCGTGTGTATGTGCGTGCGTGTGTGTGTGTGTGTGTGTGTGTGTGTGTGTGTGCGTGTGTGTGTGTGTGTGTGTGCGCGTGTGTGTGTGCGTGTGTGTGTGTGCGTGTGTGTACGTGTGCGCGCGCACAGCCTCCTTTTCTGTCTAGACCTGCCCTCACAGATCCCTCCCTCACTCCTGCGCGTGCCACTGTGCAGTCCCTGGCAGTGCGCGCCCCTGGAACCACTGCGAGCACGCGTGCAGTGCGCGCCCATGGCAGACGCGCGACACAGTGTTGCCGGGGATCTCCAGGCACACGAGACTTGGATCGCTATAGTCGCCAGCCCTGGTCCCATGTGGCGCCTCTCCATCGCAGGTGTCACAGGCAGGTGTCACAGGCAGGTGTCACAGGCAGGTGTCACAGGCAGGTGTCACAGGCAGGTGTCACAGTCTACGATACTGATAGAATCTGTATGAGGTCACTCGCAACGGCTGCATTGCTCGAATCAGCTGCAGCTGAACCACGCGGCGAGCCCCGGCGTTGGCCGCACGCGAGCGACGAGTTTCTGGCTCACTACGGGGCAGGTAGGAGCCATACCAGCGGCGGAGGCAGCGGAAACGGCGGCGCAGAAGCCTCGGCGACCGCTCGTGTCCGTGCCGCTACCGCCGTGGGTCGCGCCTCTCAGCTCTTCACTCTCCGACGCATGCACTGCCAGCGACCGGGCGGGCCCTGCACGGAATCAAATCGGGGGGGTGGGGGGGGAGGGGGGGAAGTTGGCCCGCATTAGTCCAGAAATGACGGCATGTCTGAAACCGCCCGACGACGTAGCGTTCGCGTTCATGCGAGGAATAATGCGGCAGAATCAGGCGCCGCGCGTGGCCACGGTTCGTCTGGAGCATGAGTGGCGAGGGCTATACTACAGCCGTACTGGGGCCCAGGGAGCGGCTGCAAGCCTGTCTTAGGGCTCGTGTCGAACGCTCCTCCGTTCCCGATGCTCCCGCCAGAGCTGGCACGACTGTCGGGCTGGAAGCGAGCGAAATGGCAGCAGCCATGGTTAGTGTGCCGAAGCTTGAATCAGATGGATTGTGTCTGTCTCTTAGAAATGCTGTGCATAGAACTGCAGGCCTTGGAGAGAATTGCTGCCGCTGACTGTCCACGAAACATTTCATACTTTCGTGGACAAGCCCTACTTTCATGGACACCACATCGAAGTTTTGCTTCTCCCGTGGACTCCGTCGATACTTTCGTGGACTTCCGGCTTACTTCCATATTCGTAGATAAAAAGGAGTACAGTATACAGCAATGTACAAGTGATTACGGGCACAAAAATTGAAATACTCCAGACACTGTCCGTCGCAAGTAATCGCAAGCTACAGTGTCGGAAACCAGTTCTGAAACAGAATCTAGGAGCTTTTCTGGGAAGAGCTGGCAGCCACACCCAACTATGCAGTGAACTTTCTAACAAATAGTGTGTTAGGGTCCGCGTGATAGAAACACTTATTTTTCAAATCAGAGCTGCTCAACAAAAACATAATATGCACGTGCTTGACGAGCCACCATCAATCAGCAGTTGTATTATCCTTCATAATACATTATTTTATTATTAGGAATTATGTGAACAAAAAAATCACATGAGAAATGCATTTTTCAGAATAACTTGTTTTCATTTGCATTATTATGTTTCTTTTTCAAACACAAAAGAAAACATATTCACAAAATTGTGAATCTAAAATACTTGTGTCATTTTCTCATCTATTATTATTTTACTATGGACAAGGGTTTTAATAATAATAACATCGATATGAAACCTTCCATTTATTCAGCCATGTTTACCAAACGTTATTCGTATTCATATATTTTACATTTTTATTGAAAATACGATCGAAAAATTAGTTAAAATATTTGGAAATGACATAATTTATGGTATTATCGATTCCTTGTGGGCAGAAATTCCAAACCGTTATCTTGGGACTACTATGATTTTTACTGAGCTCTATTGACCTTGTAACCATAATATCTATCTTTATTCTACAACGTGAATCTTTTGTAGCGAGATTTCACCTACTCGATCTGCTACACTTGTCTTTCAAATAAACTCGCTTCATCACGGTCATTTAAATGAATTTTGAGTATCGCTTCAGAGTTTTTTTAAACACTCAAATACTGTAGCTTACGACTATTTGCGAGGGATTGATTACGCCAAATTTTATATTTTTCCTCCCGTCAGCATTTGTACAGATCTGTATTTTTTTTTTCTTGTTTCAAATTCGCGTGTGTCCATGGAAGTAAGCCTGGAGTCCACAAAAGTATTGACGGAGTCCACGGGAGAAGCGAAACTTCGATATGGTGTCCATGAAAGTAGAGCCTGTCCACGAAAGTATGAAAGTTTCGTAAACAGTCTGCAGGGGCAATTTTCCCCCGTTCTTGTGTTGCTTGCAACATAGGAGCATTCTCAGAAGCGTTCTCCGAGTCTCTGGTGAAGTAGAGCGTCTCTTCAGAACCGCGAGCGGAGCGAGAGCAGGTGGATCACTCACTCCGCGGCCACAACAACAAACGGGTCAGATTGAATCTGACGTGGCATGCATGGAGCCCTGAAATGTCCAAGTTCATTATTTAGGGCGTGATTCTACAGCTTGAAGTGAGCCGCAGGTCACCTTGTCCCCCAGTTCGTGGGAATTGAACTGCCACTTTGCTGTTCTTCATAGCGAGACGGAATTCTACCAACAGACCATATCCATAAAAAAAAAACAATGTACATTCTATGAAATTATAACTATATCTTCACTATTTTGTTTCTCACACTACATGATTGTAGAGACATTAGTAGTATAATTTACGTTACCAATTAAATCTACAAAGTTATTTTATGCGGGCTTGGTGAGTCCACGACTTTTGCAAAACGAACGGCCTTGGCACGAACATCACTCTTATCCACATGTAATGGCGCCATGTAACGCCACTCACCCGGGGCGACTCAGCACACGCTTGCGTCTCCCATGATCTCTCATTCTTTCCATCCCACGCGCCTAACCCCTCTGCGCTGCTTTGCGCTGCCACCAGGAGAGTGGCAGCCATACTTTTTGCAGTTCTAGCGCCTAACCGCACCATACATGATCGGCGCACACCTGACAGCCCCATACCTAACCACCCCATGGCTGACCAGCCGCCGCAACTAGCCACGAGCAGAAGCGGTGGTACAGCAGCTGGGGGCAGCGATAAAGGGGTCATTCTGCGGTCGAAAAAGGAGTGCCTCAATATGGACAAATGTGTTAAGACTAGAAAGAATGATTAGAAGAAGGGAGTATCAAAATAATTGAATAAAATGGTAAAGTGAGAGTACACACAAATATATCTAAGTTTTGTATCCTCTAAGAGGTGACTCTATACAGTCTATACAAACATGACAAATACACATGTTTGACACACCCCCTAGACTGCATAGGGGAATACCCTAAACAAGCAGCTCAGGGCGGCACTACTAGTCCAACCTCTGAGACAAGGGTCTGAGCGACCGGTCAGAACGAGTACAGACAAGGCAAGCATAAGAGCAGGGCGGCACTACTAGTCCAGCCACTGGGAGAGGACACAAGTCCAGTCTGAGTATACATATAAAGGACAGTACAAAGTCAAGGTCCTAGCAAGTGAGAGGCTACAGGAACTAGACCAAGCTGTACACAGTGCCGCTGATGATCTTTAGGCGCAAGCGCCTTCGTAAAGATATCAGCCGTGTTGGCACCTGAGGCCAAGTGTACTACGCGAGCCTGACGTCGCTGCTGTAGCTCACGCAGGAGGAAGTACCGCAGCTGAATGTGCTTCGCTCTGCCCTCGAGTCGAGGCTCCTGACACAGGAGGATCATGGCCCTGTTGTCAGCGAACAGGACCGGGGCAGAGCTAGGTCGCTCACCTAAGTCAGTGAGCAAGAAGGTCAGCCAGCGGAGCTCCTGTGCCGCCATGGCACCGGCGTAGATCTCAGCCTCACAGCTGGACTGTGCAACAGACGAGGAGCGAGTAGCTCTCCACGAGACGGCACCTGAGCCAAGGCTGAAGCAGTAGCCCTGGGTAGACCGGAGTGTCTCAGCGTCGTCTGCCCACGAAGCGTCTGTGTGCCCAGTAAGGACCGCTGGCCTGCGTCCTCCTAGCACTAACCCCATGCCCGATGTACTAGCAAGATAACGCAGAACCCTCTTAGCGGCAGACCAGTGCTGCGGTCGGTGTCTGCCTGTGGCCACAAAGCGAGCCAGGATGCTGAGAGGGTATGCGAGATCTGGGCGAGTGCAAGTCATCAGGTACATGAGGCAACCCACCAGCTCTGCGTAGGGGCCGCTGGGCTCTACCAACTCCTCAGGCACTGGAGCGGAGAGCCTGTGGTCTACAGGCAGAGGGGTGGGCTGTGCAGAGGAGAACTGAAGGCTGAACCTCTGAAGGACCTGGCGCACCAAGTGTGACTGAGTCAGGGTGATGGTGCGCGCAGCTCTGTCCCTGGAGATCTGCAAGCCAAGGTAACGGCGCAGTTCTCCAAGGTCAGTGCAGGTGTGTCTCTTCAGCAGCTCTGCCTTCACGGAGGCCAGCGCGTCCCTGTCTGCTGTGGCAAAGACCAGGTCGTCGACGTAAACGAGGATGTAGAACGGAGTCTGGCCAGCACGAACGAAGAGTGAAGGGTCTGCAGAAGACGGAAAGAACTGCAGGTCAGCAAGCGTAGCACGCAGAGTGTCGTGCCACTCACGGGGAGCCTGGCGCAGGCCGTAGACGGGGCGCCGCAGGAGCCACTGGGTCCCAGGAGGGAAGGTGCCAGTAAAGCCCGGAGGGCGGCGCAGGTAGACCTGCTCGTGTAGGCTGCCCTGAAGGAAGGCAGTGGAGAAGTCGAGGGAGTGAAGCTCGTAGTCACGCTGAGCAGCTAGGTGTAACAGAACCCGAAGAGTAGTCATCTTCGGGGTCGGAGCGAAAGTCTGGAAGAAGTCCACCCCCTCGCGCTGACTGAAGCCTCTAGCCACGTAGCGCGCCTTGAAGACAGGCGGCTCTCCAGGAGGGCGCTTCACCTTGAAGAGCCAGCGGCCATCGACTACGTTCACCCCAGGTGGGGGAACTGCGTCGACGAAGGTGCCGGTGGATCTCCAAGATGCCATCTCCTGCTCCATGGCTGCTATCCACTGCGAGGCCCAGGGTCCCGAAGTCGCCTCAGCGTAAGTGCGAGGGGTCGGGATGTCGAAAGCGTCTGGGTCACCCTCAGGGACTAGCAGCATGGAACAGAGATGGGGAGCAGCCTCGGAGAGGAAAGCAAGATCGAACTGGCGGTCCTCCAGGACGTCACTGCCAAGGGCAGGAGCACCCCCGACAGACGGAGGACAGGCAGGGTCAGAGACCAGAGCGGTGGCGTAGTCAAGGCGGCGGGTAGAGGCGAAGTCAGCGACAGCAGCGACAAGAGCGTCAAGGCACGAGACTGGAACAGACGAGTCGGTAACGAGAGAGGCAAGGACATGAGGAACGAGAGGACGAGCGGCACGAAGGTAGTCGGACAGCGGGGGGGGCGCAACAACAAGGGAGGACGGAGGAGGCGACGGCAGAAGGGGAGGACGAGACGCGTGTGAACGAAGCAACATAGGGTGGGAGCGCAGGACAGGCGAGGCAGGACGAGCACGGGAGGGACGGTGAGACCAGACGTGCGATGGAGGAGTCGGGTCAGGAGACAGGGGAGGGGACACAGGAGGGGAACGAGGGGGGAGACGAGCCGGGGACGAGTCCGGCGGAGGGAAAACAGGGCCGTAGACAGGAAGAGGAGGAGACGGTCGGGGAGGAACCGACGCAGGGTCGGGGGATGGAAGGCCGAGCAGGCGAAGGGCGGACACCGGCGGGGACTGCTGCTGCGGCGGCACAACGGCGACACCTGGACCGCAAGCTGCTCCTCGGCTACCACCGGCACTCTCCACACCCGCACCCCCAGAGGGACCACCCTCAGGGCGACCGGGACGAGCACCCCCAGAGTCAGCGAACGGGGGCTGCGACTGCGGCGGCGGCGGCGGCGGCGGCGACGGCGACGGCTGCAGTGGCGGAAGGGACGGCGGAGGAGGGGACTGGGGAGGGGACACCTGGGGAG